GATGTCACCTCGATTGGTGATGAAACGTTTGCAACCAAATTGCCCAGCTCAGCGAACAAGCTGACGACCACGTAACAGTCTTATCAAACCGATCTACCAGTGGTCCTTTCGATCCATCTGCCCTCTGATGGCGATTCACACTCCCCACGATGTACTGAGATATCCGTTTGTAGTGCGGCGCAACCAGCTGCAGCTAAACAATGGATCCCGAAAGAGACCCCAACCTTGCTTGTGGACAGTTTATTTGCACATTTTATTCCACATAAAACTGTCAGACTTCAGATTAGTTATTGACTGACTAGGAATCTGGCTGCCACATGAAGCTTGATGAATTGAGAGAAAATAATTTGATTTTTGTAAAACTGTTCCAACCAACAAGTGCAACAGGCTCTAAAATGTTTTGGTGTGCCGGACAGCCATTAAAGAAAATGGCTGGCCAACCCCCAGAAGAAAGATGCCCGTTAAACAATAAGTTGACTGCTATTGTTCACTCGGAATCCTACATGTAACGAAGCTCTGAAAAGTATATTTGGAACTGCCGTTAGTATTTCCTCTACTTGGAACTAGGCTCTGTGATGGTGAAATCGACTGATCATTGAAACTCCATTCGACTATTTTTTTCCTAACAGTCTGAGTGGAAAGCAAGTTCCGGTGATAGGGGAGAAGGGTGAGGTATTCTCTTTTATCCCACCTTCTTAACGTTGGAAATTCGGTTGGCATTTTAAATGCCTTTAGGTCAGTATATGGAGTCAATTTTCCAAGAACTAGACTTCTGTTTAGCAGTTGGCGCCGGCCTGTTTTGTACTTAACGTTTGTATAGACGTTATATCTCAGCTCAGCCGACAGTCATGTCGCATCTGCGTGACTGGCCAAACAGGCGCTTTTTACGTCTGATGGACTTGTTCTCTCTTTTAATCATCTTATTCGGAGCAATGAGGTATAGTGTGAGAGGACTTTAGGTCCCTGTGTTCAGATTTCCAAAAGCAATAGCCCTGAAATACGCAGACGCCACTGTTACTCGTTTTTGAAAGGGGAAAGATATGCGAATGCTACTAAAAAACTTGGCTGGAGTCATGCAGTTTCATGGCACGTGGAACGCACCCAGCAAATATAAAGCTACGGCTTTATACCGGCTTTCCAAATGTATCTGAGTGTTAATGGAGAGACATTCGAGTTTTCGGAGAACCATACCTACTTTTGAAGTTGCATTAGATATAACAGTAGTGAGACAGATGACATCAAAGTACGGCCTTGAGTTCGCAAAATATCGCCACGGTAGACATAAAAGCCTCCTCGAATATCATATAATGCATTTATTGAGATGCAGTATTGTCTGTATTACTGCATGGCTGAGACTACGGGATGGTGGTATAAGAAATCTCCAAGGTCGGCTGCATCACACCTGGGATGAGATGATCAAGAACAATCCTGTTTACGATGCAATAAGAACACAGTATTACATCCAACACTGCTGAGAACGTTCGGTCACGTATTCAGAATTGTGAGTCGCAGCCTACTGTTAACAGCATCGTTCTCCGTGCATAATTCAAGTGATAAGACGCAAAATATGGCGTGGCTGAACGGAGAGAGGGATAAGTCTGGGTGATATCGTTTCTCTTCTTCTACTTGGATGTTCCAACGTGCTTTGCTGTAGACAAAATCGACGTCAGTGACGTTCACACGGTGACTGTCTATCCAGACTGCCGGAATTCTGCAGGTGTAGATGCCTGGGTCTTTTTTAGTAGATGGGCGTCCTGGCTATCTACTGTATTGTTTCTATCCACTACGTGGTTTGATCGAGATATGTGGATTGTGGTTGCACTGCAGTGTAGTATCAGTTATAATGGTATAATGGTTATGGTTATAATGGTATAATGGTTAGAATAGTATCAGTTATAATGGTTATCAAAAGATGCTCACTTATCCGGTTATACGCACTTTATATTTGGCTTAGCGCATAAAACAAAATCTGAGTAAGATGCGGATCGAATTTTTTGTGATGCAAGAATGTATTCAAACTTTAGTTGCATGCCAAGAAGGCGCATTGTAGTTTGGAGTGAGTTCGCAAGATAATGGTATCCCTTTAAGTTATTCATACAGTAAAATTTGAGTCATATCGGCCCTTTAAAATATACATAAAGTCGAATCTGACATTACCTGAAATAAAGTGGCTATTTGCCTATATTCCTTATTGCAACAGTTTACCGTCGACTGATTTGATAGCTCAAACACCTTGAACTGTTTAAACCATTCAGCGCGGAAATCGTCAAAACGGTCCCGCATTTGAACCTGGTCGAACACTCTAAAATTAACCAGGTTTCAATCTCTATTCTGACTAACCGGTCGAAGCGACGGAAATTAGAGCCTTCGATTCTTAGTCACGAGAACTACTTTCAAGGCTAGTGGGTCCTTTGTTATGAAGACTTTGTCTTAAAAAACAAATCGCTTATGAAAGAACTCAGATAATCCTAAGCACGGGGCTATTAATATTCCATCAACAACTAAGTGTAGATTAGGGTGCAAGTAGCCAAAGGCAGAAAATTATGCCTCAGTATCCAGGAAGTCCAATTTTATTAAACCAGTTTGTTGAGTAAAAACCTCAGTTTTAAAATTACTACTGATTGGCATCAGTGAAATCGGCTAAAACTGGAAATGAATTTGGCCATATGAAATATCGTTCGTTTGTTCGTTCATTTTTAGTATACTTCCTTTTCCTAACTGTCATGCCACCAGAAGGAACCACGAGGGCTGGGAGGGGAACTCGAGAGTCAAAGGTCGGGTTCAAACCACGGACCTTCCGGTCAGTAAATTCGTATGCTAACCACTGAGCCATCTAGCCTTACTTGAAACATACAAGGTTATTAACTATTCAAAGCTAAAAAAATGATCATTGGCAAACCTATAAATAATTTTGAATATTGTTTGGTGTGAACTTTGGTCTGAGAAATAGGTCTTTGAACGCTTCTCCCATGTAAAAAAAGTTGGTTATTTGTCTCACCAAAAGCAGGACCTTTTTTAAACTGTGACATTCTTGGATTCTTGCAGATTTTGTTGCCTTGAAAAAATGTGCAGTACAGATTTTGATGTGTGAAGGAATTTCTGGATATAGCAAAACTGGATCTGTTGAAATAAATTTGTTGTATACAATAACTGTATATAAATGAAGAAATCATTAATTTGTTGTCTAATGTATCATGCTATCCATTATTTAACACGCTTTTACAGTTAATTTCAAAGTATTTTTTTCTGCAGTGGCTGGTCACATTATCTGCTGCTCATAACCGGAGTAAAATAGCCTCGCAATCTAAAAATACTCGAAGCTGCTTTTTAAACACATGAGAGCGGATGGTTGCAGTGATAGTGATGGGATTCCGTTTTACTACTTCAATGGCCTTGAAACTGGATGCGCTCTTGACATTATGCGAATAACTTATGGTCACCTTATCATTTGCGAGCAGAACGTGCTCTACATGCGTTGTAGGATAAACCGATAGTCGAAATGCAGGAGATGTTGTGAAAACAACATTGTGTCAGAGTCTTGTTTCTTTCACGTTCTACATCAAACATCCTACATCAGAATGTCAGATTTAGCAAATGGTGACCATAAGAGTTAAGGCAGCCTCATTTCTCCTACTGGGTGGTTTGTCCCAAAGCGTGTTGGATAACATGGTAACGAAGCAGGGGGTTTGTGAATTGTTGCTATTATCATCACTTCTGATAGCAACCTCAACATAAAGTTCATTGATATCGTCAACAAAGCAGATTGCACTTTAAGCAAATGTGACCGTTTTGCAAACGCAGCTTAAACCTGCTCTTTGGTGTAGGTTTATGGGTGGTGCATCTGAAGAGCTCCATGAAATCAATAAAACCATTCACTGTTGACTGTAGTAATACTGTTTGTGTGCTTCCACTATGAATTTTATCGTGTGGCGATTCTTACTTGCAATTACATGAACAACGCAGTTGACAAGATTGCGTGAGTAGCTTGAAAAGATGTCACATCAGTTACACAAA